TCGATTTTTCTTGGTTTTCTGGTTTCTTTTTCTTTTGTTTTCTTCTCTTGTTCATTTAAAAAAGATCATGGTTTTAGAAACACTAATGACTTTTTAAAATGTTTTGAATTTTTTAAAAGTTAAGAAGTTTTACTTAAAATACCAAATTCTTAAAAAATTGTTCATGGTTTTTAAAACATGTTTGGAACTTTCAAAAAATTGTTCATAATTTTGTTTTTTGATTAGCGTTCAATCATTGTTTGAAAATGGTTCCAGTTTTTTGAATATGTTCAGAAAAACCTGGAGGAAACCAAACGAAAATCAAAGCAAGAAAGAAAACATAGCCCAATCGATAATTGGATGAATAGTATGTGTGTATAATTTCAGAATGAAATACCTTGAGATGTGATCTGTGCATAAAGTTCTCTGCACACGTGCATTATGCTAGGGAGGCACCCTCCAGCGAACCTTAAGGCCCTGTTTGGTACCGCTCCACTCCACAAATCCGGGAGCGGAGTTGGCGGAGCTGCAGTTCAAATCGGAGGAGTTGTGGTTTCCCCGCTCCGCAGATTCCGGGAACGGGTGATTACCGAACAGGGGCTAAGAAGACCTAATTGCCAAACTAATGAAAAAAATGTCATCTCTCTAATATTATAAAAATAAAATGAGTATGATTAAAAAGGCGGTATGAACTACAAGAAATAATAATTGTCATGCTAAACTTTAAAACTGCAATCCTCGGGTTATACCCTGAAAAAAAACACAAATCTTTAAATTGAGAAAATGCCATGCTGTGAAAAAATTGATGCGCGTCATTATAAAACTGCATCCTCTAGATAAAAAGTTTTATCTGGATAAGCCCGAAAAAAACGTCATGCCATTAAAAATATGTCATCCTCTCAAACATTAAGAAATGCCATCCTATTTGTAACAAAAAATGCCATCCGCTCAATAATTAAAATGCCATCCTATTATTGATAAAAATGCCATCCTATTATTAAATAAAAATGCCATGCTCTTAGTAATAAAAAGTACCATGCCGATAAAAATAAAAATGTTTTCTCTTAATAATAAAAAGTGCCATCCTATTATTGATAAAATGCCATTCTATTGTTAATAGAAATGCCATCCTATTGTTAATATAAGCTGCCATACCATTAAAAATAAAAAATGCCATCCTCTGAAAAAATGGCATGCTATAGAAAATAAAACCGTCGTCTCTCATATAAAAAAGGCAACCTCTTAAAAATCGCCATGCTATAAAGAAACTGCCAGAGAAAATGAAAAAAAAAATCGGGATTTCCGGTATTGCAAAATATGTGGCATTTTAAACACAAAACATTCACAAAAGCCCTCTCATCATGCGGTGATTGGGCGCTTGAGCACACGCAGGGGGTCGCGGGTTCGATCCCTCGCCTCGCTATTTTTTGGAGAGAAAAACAAACGGGCGTTCACTAGAAGCGAGATGTCTGCAGATGATGCAGGCCAAGGCAGCGCCTTTCCTCCAATATGGCGATTTGTGGACTGGATGGGGGAATTCTGTGGAATTGAGAAGCACGGCCGACTCATGCCCTGGTTCAAATGTTGAACTTGGTTTGGGCTCAGTGCCTGTACCAATGGAAACACCCCCGGCGCAGATGAGATTCCCTGCAAAAAAAAGATTGAAGCGGAGGAGTTCAGAGACCCCGAGAAGAAGTACGGGATCGTAACCAATGAGGAACCAAGGGATGTCGGAAAAGGGTCTGGGAAAGGCAGGCATATGGCGATTGCGGGTTTGGAGTCACGATCTGTCGAATGTGTACTTTGAGATGATACTAAGAGGATAAGGAAGCACTTAATAGATCATGAGGGTGGCATGCCCCCCTGTCTTGAAAGGGGCGACCTATATCTTGAATAGGGTCTTCAGTAAAAAAAGCCACTATCTACATCCAAATCCGGATCGAAGGTAATCAACCATTTTCTATCACGGTTTCCGAAGCTATCCATCTAACCTCAGGTGGCCGAAGAACTGGGAGACGAGGGCATGCCCGACGGCTTACTCACTCCACCACTGTTCGTCCAACTATCTTCTGTGACTTCTAAGCCCAGACATGAGAAACACATGGTAGAGAAAAGACATATGAGTATGGATAATTCATTTACACAGGGGGCGTAGTTACTCACCGTGTGCTCATCTACACTCGATGAACAGTAAGTATGTGTGCATGTGAAGCTGGTAGTCACTCCACCATGGGCTCATCTACACGATCAGTAGTACATTCAATATATAGTTAAAAAACTGAATCTTGCTGGCATCGAAGATGCTTCAGTGCGCAGGGAGTGTGCAAAATCTCGTGGTGTTTGGACATTTGAGGAGCTCTAGGCAAAAAAAGACCGAATCTTTGCATTTTATGAGTATAGAGTATACCAGGAGGGTGACATTTTGGTGCTCGGGAGCATCTGCTACTGGTGATGAACAGTAAAAATAAAATAAAAAAGCTTGAATTTTATTGGCGCAAGCGATGAACAAGATCTCTAGGTGTGTGCAAATATATGTGGTGATATGACATCGTAGAAGCTCTGGAAAAAAACAACAGAGTTTTCAGAAAGGTTCATTTTTTTTTTGATTTTGGAGCACAGATCTTGTGTTTTCAGTCTCAAGCTCCTCGTATGTCACATTTCCATGAAACGTCGCACGCCCACAGGAAACTTGTTCATCTTTGATGTGTAAAAATTTCAGATTTGTTTGATTTTCTATGCTATTTTATTAGATTTTACTGTTCATCCATGATCAGATGTGCACGTCGCGAGCTCTGGATTTTCGGGATATCGGCTTGTATTTCTGACTTTAGTTTATTGCACGTAATAGTGAGCACAATAGAGACAGTGAGCCTGGCAACGATCCTAGCTCCATAGAGGCAAAAACAGTCACACATTGCTCACTAGTAATGATCGTCACAGCCAGAAAATTAAGAATCATCGCCAATATTACGAAATTGCCCACCACACAAAACGCTAGCCCATCTGCGGAAGACTAGAAAGAATAGAAGCACAACTTCGTATGGAGACATGTAACGCGGCGGGATAGAGTACGACGCGACAACCACCCAGCCACTGCCCTAGTTGTGCTCATTCCATGGTTTCTTCCTTTTTCTTCTTTCTCATTCCCTTTTTCTCTTTTCGGTCCTTCTTTGCTTTTCCTTTTTCTAATTCGAGAAACTTTCTTTCTTCATAAGTTTTTTCTGCAAAATCGATGAACTTTTTTCAAATTGGGTGAACTTTTTCATATTCGACGAACTTTTTTCAAATTTTTGATGAGCTCTTTCAAATTCCACAAACTGTTTTTAAAATTCGATGAACTTTTTTCACATCTGATGAACTTTTTCTCATATTCGAAGAACTTTTTTCAATTTTTTTGTGAACTTTTTTCCAAATTTTCTGAACTTTTTTCAAATTCTATGTTTCTTTTCAAATCCGATGAACGTTTTTTCAGAGTTGATGATTTTTTCTTGAAAATCGATGTACTTTTTTCAAACTTGTGAACTTTTTTTAGAATCGATGAACTTTTTTTCAAATTTGTGAACTTTTTTGACAGTCTATGGAATTTTTTCAGTATTATGAACGTTCTGAATTCATGAACGCGTTTTAATATATGAACCTTTTTCTAATTCGTGATGTTTTTTAAAATCTGGGGACATCCAAATTTTGTTCACATTTCTTTTCAAAAGAAATCCCGTTTTTCTAAATAGCGGCCAAAGTTTAGTTCTTAAAACCTTCGCGTTGTAATATTTCGCTAGTGGTTAATAGGTCAAGTGGTTACCCAACCATTAACTGGAGCTGCTGGCGCAGGTTTGAATCCTTAAGAGAGCAACATTGTTTGTTGTTTTTTCGCGCCATGAATGGATCTTTGCACTGCACAGCGTGCCCAGATTGCTCATGGGACGGCCCACTAGCGTGCCGCAGTGGGCGCTAGTAGTCTGAAGAGGCGCATGAGGCGCCCAATAGGAGCTCTCGCCCTGGTCTTCCAGAGGCCGCACAGTGGGCCCGCAACTGGGCCAGCCGAAGCTAGCGAATAGCAGTACACCTAAAAAAATGTGACTCTTTGTGAGAATCAACCCAAAATCTCCTGTGGCCGAAGAAGTGCCATTACCACTGGAGCTAGCGTACGTTGCTTTATATGGAACTGCATGAAATAATTAAAGAAGCAAAACCAGCGACGATATGTTTAAAAAAATTCAAAAACTAAACATTTTTTTTGAAAAAACGCGAGCACATTCCAAATCCGTTAACAAGTTTTTAAAAAGTCACACATTTTCAAAACATGGGATTTTTTAACGACTGAACAATTTTTCTGAAACACGTTTTTCTAAGACTCTTGATTTTTTTTAAATAATGCGAACATTTATTGAATTCCACAAAATAATGTAACACCAACATTTTTTGAACTTCTGGAACAAAATTTGGAAATACGAACATTTTCTAAAACTGGAACATTTCTTTGAAATTCCAGACCAAAATTTGGAACGTGAAATTTATTTTAAAACTAGAACTTTTTCTAAACTCCTTAACAAATTCTAAAATAAGAACATTTTTGAAAATTTCTGAACAATTATTAAAACAGGAACATTGTTTTAAACCCTTGAACAACAGTATAAAGCATGAACATTTTTTGAAATTTGTGATTTAAAAAAAACGTGAACATTTTTTGAAACTCCCCAAAAATTGGAAACATGAACATTTTCAAATGGAATTATTTATTGAAATCTCCAATATTTCTGAAAAGTTGGGAACATTTTTGAAAAGGCAACATCTTGGATAAACTTTAAAGCATGAACATTTTTTTATGTTTGAAAAAAAATTAAATTCGGAACATTTTATGAATTTTATTAATTTAAGGATAAAAAAAGGAACAGAAAAAGGAACAAAAAGAATGAAATAAACAGGAAATAAGCAGGAAAAGAAATAATATAGAAAACGAAGAAACAAAAATGAAAAACCAAAAAAGCGATTAAACCAGGACAAAAAACCAGTTCAGGAATCTTCTAGAAGGTTCCCAAAACCGGAATAAAAAAAGCAATACAGAAAAATACGAATGCTAGATAATGGGTCGGCCCACTGCATCGCTCTCTCGCGTATCTCGCAGTGAGCATCCTTTCTTCGCCCTTTTCAGTGGAGCACGCTCGTTCGCCTCTTTTATCATGCTTCTCGTTGTCATCGGCCTCCTTCTCCAGCTCGTCCATGAGACGGCTGATGCAAGCATCTTCGTCACACTTGGACGCTATCGGGCACTCCGCGACGTCTGCGGGTGTCATATGCACAGCCACCAACGCCGGATTAATGCGGCCTCAAGCTTGTCGAGGTGGTTCGTCGTGAACACAATGATCCGATCGCCGCCGTGCGCCGACCAGAGCACGTCGATGAAGTCGAGCAAAAAATATAGCAAAATATATTGAGGCACCTGAGCCAAAGGATGCACATCTTCGGACGGGAACAAAATGACCAAAACAAAAAGTTTTTTCAAGCGCCCAACATATAATCAGCTCCAAACGCTTTTATATTTATTTACGGAGGGAGTAACCAGCAAATCATAACGAGTCCATTGAATTTGCAGCTAGCTACTGCCCCTTTCGCCCAAATTTAAGACCCCGCACTGCATTTTGAAGAAGAGAGAAGAAAATTTGGCCTTTCAATTTATCACAGGAACCTTGAAGTTGTACTGAATCTTACAGGACAGGACCGCCACCCAAAAGGGAATGAACAGTGAATGTTACCTACCCGCCTTTGTGCTACAAAACATTTTGAAGGGAGATGTACAAGTCAGCTCCCAAACCAAATACAAAATGAAAGGCGTGTGCCTCCATGTTCAATCAGCGACAGGAATAGACACAGCAGGTGGACATAAAAGGGACTGGTTAGCACACAGAACGGGATGGACATCAGCGAAACTGTCTCCTACTAAGGGTCAGGTCAGATACTGATCTGGTGAACATGGTACTCCGATATTATGCCCGCTGAATTCGCTTCAGATATTGTCAGCTTTCGAGCGTTGAGATACCATGGAGCGCTTTGTCGATGAGGTGGACACGGAACAAAACTCCAGGGGAACTGCACAGATAGATAACACCAATTATAACACTAACACTTGATAACTTGTCATCATCACATCGTCACCAGATGTCGCATCTGTAACAAGGTAACATATTATGTGCTACAGGCTGACATTTCCAAAGTGGCACGTTTGATATGCCAAGGACCTGTTGATCCAATCCAGGTTTTCTTTAAGGAAATTGGTTTTACTGTAAATTCAGCTAGTGCTCAAGGTAAAGTAGTTTAACATTGCCTGTCTGCCTTTGGCATTTGCATCTTACAGTTGCAGGACCACTACCAAAAAGGAACCACCAGACAACATTGCCTATCTGCCTTTGGCCTTTGCACCAGAAAACAATTGAAACAAACATGTAAAAGACCAAATAGAGAACTGAAAACTGAAAGGCAACTGCCTAGCTCCATGTTCATTAAGATGAACACATTAAGATGAACAGACACACAGCAGGTGGACATAACATAACAGGGACCAGTTAGCATACAGACAAGGATGGACATCAGTGGAAACTGTCTCCTATTGATGGTCAGATACTGATCCGGTGAACATAGTATGATGATAGCGCGTCCTATAAATTGGCTTTAGATATCGTCAGTCTTGAAAGAATGGATATTGCCTTGATTCTTCTAATTGGCAGCAGACGTCTCTGCGAAGCTCTTCAAGCAGTGAGATACCATGGAGCGCTTTGTCAACGAGGTGAACGTGGAACTAAACTCTACAAGAACTGCATAGATGGATAATGACAATCATCATATTTCTAAAAACTTGGTAAGTTCTCATCGTCAGGACATATCGCATTTGTCACTTACTGAACTGCAGTAACAAGGTAACAACATATTACATGCTGCAAGTTGACATTTCGAAAGTGGCATGCTTAATATAGCACTAGGAGCATGTTGATCTAATCCAGTTTTTGTAATTAAATTGCTTTTACTGTAAAACTAGTTACCGCTTAAGTTAAAATAGTTTCTTTTTAGTTGCCCGCCTAGTGTCTCATCCATGACTTTTGTTAGCACACAGGAGTGTATCCTGCTGTACATACGCATTGCATGAACTAACCTAAATACTATCGCAACCTGCCATACTTGAAGAGCTTGTTCGGGGCAAGAAACAGACCTGATGAGCTCTGAAGTTGATCGAATGGTGACCGAGATTTGAGAAGGGGTGGGCTATTTTACATAAATTATGTCCTCCTCATCTGGCTCATCCCCCTCCCAGTCACCATCTTCTTCTTCTGCCATATCTGAAGCTTCTCCATCCTCTTCTTCACCATTACCATCTCTCTGCTCCCTTTCCTCCTTTAGTTTGTCCAGTATAGTAAGAATCTGCAGAGGTGAGTCGGTTAGACAAAGATCTTCCTGGTACATATGAGAAAAACATGAAAAATGGTCCATGTAATGATTCTTTGTGTTAACAATATAGTAGATCCTACGGCAGATTAAAATGCCCAGTATGTAGGTATCGACAAAACATATACACTGATTCTTATCCATATAACAAGCAAATGATGATTCTAGTTTTCACCTAAACTGAACTGCAAATACACTACAAAATGTAAACAGAGAAGCAAGCGACTGTCAAGTACCAGCTTGTGAATTGCAAGGGAAGAGAAAAGATCAGTTAAGATAAGTATTTCGCGCTACGTTTTACAACGATCGCAGAAGGAAGTATCGAATGGTCATGTAAACGAGTTTAAAGAAACATGGTGTCGAAAACTCTGCTCTGCAGCAGCAACGATGGTAGTAGTAACAAATACTAGCAGGCAGTGAATACTGAATAAGGTCTGACCATGAACTAGTGAAAACTGAAAAATGAAAAATGGGTGAAAGCTCGTGGTGATGGTGCAGCTAGATGAGTACTGTATGTTTATGGCAACAGAAGAACAAACTTGCATTTCTTGACACGCTAATGTCTGGCAAAAAAAAAATCAAGCATACCCTGCTTCCGCGCTCCATGGACTCGTCCTCGATGAACCGTATCTCGGGCGTGAGTCGCAGCTTCATCCGCTTCCCAATCTGGCTCCTGACGTACTTGGTCTTGTCCTTGAGCCCGGCCATGGCCACCTTCTTCCCCCTCTCGTCCCCAAACACGGACACATACACCTTACACACCTGCAGACAGACAAGGAACTTAGCATCACCCCCGCAACCCACCGTCCCAGATTGCGGCGCAGCCGCATCGTTTCGAGCAAGCGGCCGGGGTCTACCTGCAGGTCGTTGGAGAGCTCTACGTCGGCGATGGTGGTGAGGGAGGAGAGGTAGCGGTCGGCGCCGAGGGCGGCCTCGGGGAGGACGGCGCGCTGCATCACGGGGTCGCGGGTCAGCATGTCCGCCAGCTCCCGCTGGATCTGCTTCGCCACCATCCGCACCCGCCGCTCCTTGGCCATGCACCGCACCACGCGCAGCGACGTCGGCGACCACGACGACGGCCACGGCAGCCGCCGCACGGAGACGGGCGCCGCGGCGACGAGGGCCCGCGGCAGCGGCGGGGACACCAGCGGCCGGCACGGGAACATCCTCGCGGTGGTGGGGGATTTTGCGCCGCGGTGAGGCCGTCGGCCGTCGCTGTGGGGGAGTGGGAAGGGGATAGTGTTGAGAATCCAACAATATCTCCCGGCTCGATTTAAAAGAAAATTCCCAAAATAATGTGCAAATAGTGTATGGTTATAAAAACCCTTTGTTAAGTCCATTTTCTATTAGAATTGTTTTGTATCCATAGGAAATTATGTATTTACATTATAATGTGGTTAGATTTTAGCTTCTTGTTGGACGAATTACCCATGGTGCTCGTGTCTTGAACAAATGTGTGCCAGTGTAATAGTGTTTCTATACTCTATACATCGCCAATTACGTGTGGTCCATGTCTTCCATGATTAAACTTTGATCGTTTCGGTGTGACGCTCGGAGTAGAACATGGAAAAGGCATTGAGGAGAGAATGGTTTGAGACGCGAGAGCCGTATCAATATCCCATTGCAGGGTTTCTGGGCGGAATGGGATTCATATTAAGCTGCTAATCGATAATAGAGCTACCAAATTACAGCCTGACCATGCCAAACATGTTCTTTCTTTATCAAATGACACCGTGAACAGACCGCGTTTCAGAATGCACGAAGCAAACATATCATTAATTAAGGACGTGTTTGGTTATAAAAAGGTAACGTAAATGCAAACATAACGAAATAACACCGCTAAAGTAAACGTAATGGGTAAAAGTCGACATGTTTGTTTCAACATTGTAACTATAATTCTCTGCCATCTTCCAACATGTTTCAATCACAAGGTAAGATGCAACCAAAAAATCACATAAAAATGGGGGAGAATCAACTAATCGAATCATGAACAAGAATTACTAGAACATGCTCATAATTTGAACAATTCAGAACTGGCCAATTTTACAAATGACCCAAATATGGTGAAGAACTCAAACAAGAAAACATGAGGTATAAGAAATGGATCTACACAATTTAGCAGAGAAGGTACCATGCCAAATCATGTGAGAGGGAGTACATGAAAGTTCAAGGGAAGCTCCATCAGTTGATACTAAAAAGACCATCTCAAACACGGCACTTGCGAGCAAGCGCCAGGGAATAAATCCCAGCCATTTTTGAATTTGTGTGCTTCAATCCCGGTCTGTGGGCTCGCTCCTTCATGTGGATGATGGTGCTTGACTAATGCTTGTTCTTATCCATGCAGCTATTGGGTGAGCCTTTTACTTTAACTAGATGATACCCCGTCGTTGCAGCGGGAACACATGGGAATCAGGTTCAACATATTATTTTGATGTCTTGAATTTGAATATGGGACTAAAGGTTTTAAAATACTCATAATTTATTGTATTTGATATTATAAATTTATAAAATATTTATAGACTACAAGTACCATTTCTACTCTTTCTCATGCATGTTGGAAGAAATAAAAGTAGTGGAGTTGATATGTTGACAGAATTAGTACGTGTAGTTATTTTCATGCATGCATGCTGAGAGAAACAATGGTAGTGAAGTTGATGAGGTGGCATATGTGCATGTTGATATAAATGAAGTAGTGGGGACCAACTACTTAAGTATAAATGAATAGATGATCTAAGTGTGGACTAATTATTTTGTGTGTTTGATGAGGGACGAACTGTTTGTGCAGATGTAGGGTGAAGAAGAGGTGATAGGGTTGCATCGTTTTCAGATTACGTTGGGCTGTTGGTGTATCAGTTTGTATTGGGTTGTATTTATACCGAGTAAGCGCATACTAGAGCAATGAAACCAAACATAATTTAACACTATATGTTACCATCGCAGTCGGATTAAGTTACGAAATCCTGAACCAAACACATTCTAAGATGCACATCGGTTCATGTAGACTCAATGACAAACAAGACTCAAAATATCTAGCCACCATATGTGACATGTCAAGATACACCAACATACACCATCATATGTTACATGTCAAAAGTTGACATTTTTGGGGTATGTATGCTATATTAAGCCATAACGTGCATTTATAGGCATTCAACGGAATCATTCAAAACTGAACTTCAAATTCATGAAAATTATGAAAAAATGGGTTGAAAATCGTATTTGTGTTCTTTATTCTATGTTTAGGCAGTTCCCAAGAAAATAAAAGGAGTTCCATACATCAAGGTGCCAAGACTTGACCCTGAAATGGAGCTCATTGAATGTTTAATACCAAAAATGCGAAAAAGTCTAGAAAATATGAAACCTAGCATGGTGTCATTATATGACATCAATAGGCTGCGTAAAAACTTGACAAGGTTTCACAAAAGTAGTGTTGTACACTGCTTAGAAACCGAACCATATCTCAGGGGGTGTTTGGTTTCCTTCAAGAGTCCACACCAACATACGCCTGGCTTGGATGGTGCCTGGATTCTGCTTGTGAGCTGTTTGCTTCATGTCCTCGTCAAAACGATTCCTGCCTGGCCTGGCCGCTCCCAGGTATGTGATTAGCCTCCTGGTCCACTTAGCAAAAAGAGAAAGAAAGAAAACGATTAGCCTGATCCAGCCGTCTGTCTCCGAGCGACTGGCGGGCTGCAACAACGGCCTGGAGGGAATTTGTCGAAGGACGCTTCGTTCGGATCGATTCGATCGCTCCAGCGAGCGATCGCGAAGGAGCTTTTCCGCGGCCTGGAAGTAATTAAAGCCTAGGAGTTGTACGGTGTCCTTTTTGAAAGTACTTTAAGCACTCAAGTTACAACGGCCAGGCGATGGACAAGAAAGAAACACACAGCCAGCAGGCCTGGCGCCCATCCTCTCAGGCTGTATCCAGGCAGCTTTCTTTCCTAGATTTCAATAGATTATTTCTCAAAGTTGCTTCCTAATGTTCACATCTCTAAAGGTGTTTCGTGTCTTTCCATCTTTGCGCTAGCGAAATATTCATATTTGTAAGACAATAAGTTTTGGGGAACCAGCACAACCCTTTAGGGATGGCTTATCTCATTATATATAATGGTTGTGTTACAATATGTACCATATACGTACATAGGTACAGAAGCTATACATAGTCTAACACCCTCCCTCAATCTTAGCCACTTTCTAAAGAACTGAGAAGGGTAAGATTGCGCCTACAAGCCTCAAACTGTGGCAGCGGTAAAGGCTTAGTGAAGATGTCTGCAAGTTGATCCTTAGATGAGATAAACTTGATCTGGAGTTGCTTCTGTGATACACGTTCCCGTACAAAGTGATAGTCAACTTCAATGTGTTTCATTCGGGCATGAAATACTGGATTTGCAGAAAGGTATGTAGCACCGATGTTATCACACCAAAGAATAGGAGGCTGTGGTTGAGACAAACCCAACTCCTGAAGCAAAGACTGCACCCAAATAATCTCTGCAGTAGCATTAGCCACAGCCTTGTACTCAGCTTCAGTACTGCTACGTGACACAGTAGCCTGTTTCCGAGCACTCCAAGCGATCAAATTAGAGCCAAAGAATACTGCATAACCCCCCGTGGATCGCCTGTCATCTGGGCTACCAGCCCAATCTGCATCAGAGAAGGCCGAAAGGACCCGAGAGGAAGTCGGCCGAATATGCATACCAAATGTCAGGGTGAACTGAACATAACGAAGAATGCGTTTAACAGCAGCCCAATGAGTATCTCTGGGAGCCTGAAGATACTGACAAACCCTGTTAACAGCATAAGAGATATCTGGTCTCGTGATCGTCAAGTACTGAAGTCCACCAACAATGCTCCTGTACTCTGTGGCATCCGCAGGAGACAAAAGCTCACCATCAACAGCTGTTATCTTGTCGATAGACGACATGGGTGTGGTGGTCGGTTTGCACTTCAGCATGCCAGCTCTTTGTAACAACTCCAAGGAGTACTTCTTCTGCGTAAGGACAAGACCAGTAGCACGAGAAGTGACCTCAACTCCAAGAAAGTAGTGAAGCTTCCCAAGATCTTTGACCGCAAAATCAGCACCAAGAGAGCAGACAAGAGCATCAGCAGCATACTGAGAAGAGCTGACAAGGATAATATCATCGACATATACCAAAAGATACATAGTGACTTCTGGCTTCTGTAGAAGAAATAATGAAGTGTCAGCAGTAGACGGCACAAAACCATGAGCACGAAGGGCAGAGGCAAGGCGGGCATGCCAGGCACGAGGAGCTTGCTTCAAACCATATAGTGCTTTGGAAAGACGACAGATATAGTCAGGACGATCAGGATCAGAGAAACCAGGCGGCTGTTTCATATAAACCTCTTCCTCCAAAAATCCATGTAGAAAAGCATTCTGCACATCAAGTTGACGAAGTGACCAACCACGAGAAACAACAATGGAGAGAAGAAGACGAATAGTGGTAGGCTTGACGACAGGACTGAAGGTGTCCTCATAGTCAAGACCATGACGCTGCCGAAAACCGCGAGCAACAAGTCGCGCTTTGTAACGCTCAATAGATCCATCCGAATGCTTCTTCACTTTGAATACCCATTTTGAGTCAATAACATTTACCCGTGGTGGTGGAGGAATGAGAGTCCATGTCTTGTTACGAAGAAGAGCATGAAACTCCTGTTCCATAGCCTCTCGCCAATGTGGAATGCGCAGGGCAGCCTGATATGAGCGAGGCTCAGAAGATGGATCCGCAACAGCAGTAGCCAAACAAGCAGCCAACCAAGCAACCGTACCATCCTTACGTTCCTTAGGTTTGAAAATGCCACTGCGACTGCGTGTATGTGGTCGGGACATAGGAACCACCGAGGTCGACGGAGCAGCCTGCAACGGGCTGGAGGATGGCGACGTTGACGAGTCAGCCGGTGACGAGGAGCCAGTCACGGTAGCCTCGGACTCGGTTGGCGAACAAGGCCAACCCACCGGCGAAACCGGCAGAGCAGACGAAGCAGCTGGCGACTCCGGCATCACAGACCGGGCCGATGGCGAGCT